GGTATCACTTGGATGAGCAACAGTTGTTGGGTCTTCTTCTCTGCTCCTATTCCAACAGCAAACTGTACACACCAGACAAGTAAGGCTGTATTCCACGGAATGAGCTCTGCACACCCAGTCTGTGGCAGTCTAGCCAAAACTCTTGGATCAGGCGTCCCCTCTCCTTGGCTCAACCGGTTTCTTTGGTGACAATGAGGCAGGAATTGATCCAGACTGGAGGGATCAATATTCCAAGTCCAAACCTCTGCTTCCACTTGGAAGTCTCTATCTCTCGCTCCACTTGAGAGAGCCCCTTCTTCTTGAGAGGTCTTCTGTTGCTATGCCGCTTGGAGGTCTTCTCTTCTTCTCTTCTTCTCTCTGTTCGAACAGTAGCTCCGAATCGGTAGCCTCGAATCGGCGACAATGGCGCTGCTTCGAATGAACGAACGAATGAACCGTTGGTTAACAGGCTCCTTCTTCTTCTTCTTTCTTCTCGACAAGCGAACGACAATGGGATATGACCGTCGCTTCGAACGAACGGTAGCGTCGCGTCATCTTCTTCTCGTCGTCGTTCGAACGGTAGCTTCGAACGTTGCTTCGAACGGTAGCTTCGAACGGCCGAAAGGTGACAATGGCATTCGAGCGAACGAGCGAACGAACGGTAGCTCTTCTTGTGCTCGTCGAACGGCCGATCTCTTCTGTCGAACGCTAGCTAGGGTAGCTTCCACGCCTGATAAGCCGAAAAAGGCTGATGATAGAGGAAGGAGGTGTTGATAGAGAGGTTGCTATAGTGTTGTGTGTGTTACTACTTGGTTGTTGTGGTTGTGGTTGATTTCTAGTAATCTGGTAACTGGATAGTCATAAATCGCTACCACAGGTCATTTTCGAGTTTGAGGGGGTGCATGGGACACTGTTCTACACTCCTGGCCTTGCTAGCTAGATTGAGCAATCATTGCTACATGTAGCGGACAAGGTGTTAGTTAGACTTAGCAGCAGGAAGAGATCCAGAGAAAAAGCCGCTCTAGCTAGCTAGTCTAGGCGTTCATCGTCGTTCTTCTCCATCCAAAAGATTAAACCTCATCTGCGGTCCACCACCGTTGCCAATGTCAACCCCAACCGCTGATGACGATGACGACGCCATTGAAAATCCAATGAAAAAGGCAAAGGTAGAGCATGAGATTTCAAGTCCTGCGAATGATTTGCTGAATCAAACCGATATTTGGGTCAAGAACATCCTCCCATTTGTTGGCGGCATGGGGCAATTTGTCTTTTTGGCACCCGTCAGCCACAAGATGAAAGATCTCTACGCAGCATACTGCAACACTCTGAAGAATCCTCCAAAGGTCAAAGAGGAGAATGGCAAACTACGACCAGCGACTCCTACTGACACATTCTTCAGTGAAACTTTCTCCAATGTACCTCGTGCCGATTATTGGTTCACCTACAAACATACTGGCACAGGAGGTCAAATTGCTCACAGGCTTGTTTGTACTGCAGTTGCCAAAGTGGGCAATATCCAAGTGCTTCAATGGGCCCAGGAAAGGGGCTACCCATGGAATATAGAAGTGTCCTGTGTGGCTGCAAAATATGGCCATCTCCGAGTCCTAGAATATGCTGTCAAAAAGGGCTATCCATTGGGAGCAGTATGTGCTTGCTTGGCAGCAGAAAATGGCCATGTGAACATCATCAAGTATGCCCGTGAAAATGGATGTCCATGGGGTAGCATCAATGCATGTAAAATCGCAGCTTGGTTTGGCCAATTGGATGTCCTCAAATATGCTCATGAAATCGGCTGCCACTGGGATGTCTGGACCTGCATAAAGGCTGCTGAGAGGGGGCATTTGGGATGCATCAAATATGCTCATGAGAATGGCTGTCCATGGAATATTTGGACAAGCCACAGCGCTGCAGCAAATGGCCATTTACAAATCTTGAGATATGCCCATGCAAATGGTTGTCCATGGGACAGAAGCACATCCCTCTATGCAGCCGGGAATGGTCACACACCATGCCTCAAATTCTTACATGAAAACGGCTGTCCATTGCATGAAAGAATATGCAGGGTTGCTGCATCCAATGGCCATCTACAAGTGCTGAAATATGCCCATGAAAATGATTGCCCATGGGACGCAAGAACCTGCAGCTCTGCTGCTTCTGGTGGACATCTGGAAGTCCTGAAATATGCGCATGAGAATGGCTGTCCATGGGATGATTTGGCATGTCGGTGTGCTGCTGATGTTGGTAACTTGGAAATCCTGAAGTATTTACATGAAAATGGTTGTCTGTGGGATGAGCGCACCTGTACCCTTGCTGCAAGCAGTGGTCACTTGGAGATTCTAAAGTATGCCCATGAGAATGGATGTCCATGGGACAAATGGACATGCAGCAGAGCAGCTGCAAGAGGCCATTCCTGCATCTTGAAATATGCCCACAAAAATGGATGTCCGTGGGACGAAGATACTTGCACTGAGGCTGCTGGAAATGGACAAGTTGAAACTCTGAAGTATGCACATGAAAGTGGCTGTCCGTGGTATGAAGAAACCTGCTACCGTGCTGCCAGTGGTGGCCATCTGGAGGCGCTCAAATACGCACACGAGCATGGATGTCCATTTAACCAAGCTCTTCTGCTGCGACATGCAGCTTCGCAATGTCACGTAAGGGTGTGGATTCAAAGAATGGAAGGGATCCTGCCAGATCGTACAGACTATTTGGTTCGCCCAAATCTGGATGGGCCAAGGCAGGGACGCCCACAGCCTGTACTTCCGAGAAACCCAAGGTAGTTGCCAACTTTGATCAGAAACCACTATTTTAATTAAATTAGAGGATGTGTCAATCCCCTTTTTATCACTTTGTGCCCTGGTCTGTTGATTGGATTGTGCCATTCCGCTCTTCTCGTATCATTGCTCAGGGCTCACCCCTAACCATGTCCCTCTTGATCCAGCACGTAGTCGCGGTCATCCTTGGACCCAGCCATCACTGAGCGCAGGTGATGGGCACGAACCATGCTCTAGCTAGCTACGTAACTGGGCAAGGCAGGTGATGGGCACGAACCATGCTCTAGCTAGCTACGTAACTGGGCAAGTTCACACTATCATCATGTAAAGCAATCAAAATTGGTTTTAACTGGCAAGCTGTTCGCACCATTTTATCCTACAAGTAGCTTTCTGTACTGTGATTTCAGTACATGACAAGCAAGCAAATTTTATACTGCGACCTTGCCTGTTTCGGGCAACCTTTCACTTGTCACTGTGGTTGCTTCTGGCAACAAAATCTTGTCCAACCCAGCATCAGGGGTAGAAATAACTGGTCTGGTGGTGGTCATGACATGAGCCGAAACAATGCTCTGCCAAATGATATCAAACAGACTGGATATCAAGACACGATACTCCAGTGGTGCATTGTACACCAAGACGTTGGCAAAGCTCCATATTTTGGCATTGTCAATCAGTAATGCTGGTAGTTTTGTTTGCACTTGTTGTGGAATAGAACGATTGTCGCTTGTGGGATTGAGCAATGTCGGAACTGGGATATCCCAAAAGGTATAGATGATGGGAGCTCCAACAAACTGTTCCAACAGAATGGACGTCATTGTCTTGCCAGCTATCGCAGCACCCGTGCCTCCGCCGAGGCTTGAGAGCCATTCCGTCATTGTCGCACCACCACCATCATTGCTGCTGCTGATTGGATACTGCATCAGTTGATTGGTCCATAGTTCATTGGTGCCAAACCAGACTGACCAAATGACACCTCCTCCAAATCCCTTGAGCATGAACCGCGCCAATCTGTCCGTATCCAATGAAAAGGTTGCAGTGGTGGAACTTGGCAGAAGAAGACTATCGTCTGCTTTCGAACTTTTCCTCTGTTGGAATTGGCCAAATTGAGCCACAACATCACCGATCCCCGAAAGAATGGAGGAGGTCACACACTGAGTTGGCAGTGGATAGTGGGCCAAACAGTAATTGTACTGGTTTGCGACGGCAGATGCCAGATGCAAGTCAATGACGGCATTGAGAGAGGTTGACGACGAGGACCTTGCGTGTCCGACAGAATCAAGCATAGATGATTGTGCAGCAGAGTTTTTCCTGTTCTGGATGTGGTCGGTGTAGAACCTGGGAAAGCCAGCAACGTCGTTGGCGGGTACCAAAAATGCCGATGACGAGGGTAGCAATGATATAGCCAACAGGGAGACCGCCAGGACGACATGGGATCTTCGTATTCTCATTGTTGCTGAAGATTGTGGATTGCTTTTGCCTGGTCGTCTTTCAATACAAGCCATTGGTTGTCTCATTCTAAGTTTGTTTTCTTTTCTTTTCTTTTCTACCGGCACTTCTACCGCCTCTGTTGTTTGTGTTGTGTCGGCATGTGGTTGCTTTCAGAATTCTTGGCTTCTTCATTTCGAACGATTTGCAATTGGCCAGGTGGCTTAACGGACACGTAATTGGTGGGGAAAACGTGGCTTCCTGGGTCTTGAATTTGACGTCATAAGTCAGTCGTAGACAACGTGCAGTACCGTGGGACTTGTTCCACGCTTCGGGTGAGCACCTCCATCTCTCCCTTCTCTCTTTTCTCCTCTATCTGGGGACATTGCTGAGGGGATGAGCAAACTTGCCCATGGCTCTGTGTTGAATTTGTTAGAGCGTTTTTTTAAAAATTGAGTTCACTGAGCCAATCTTTTACTTTGGCTGTTTTTCTCTATTAGATTTGATTGGATTGCATTGGATTAGATTGGATTGCATTGAATTACAGTTTACTATATAAATAACAGTACTATTTGGAATCCAATTCAATCCAATTCAATGCAATCCAATCCAATCCAATCCAATTAAATTTATCTTCTGGCAAAAATATGAATTTCGTCTTTTTAACTGATTTTGGCGAGTCTCACTCCATTACAATACAGGGCTATTGCAAGATTTGCCCATCCCCTGTCCTGGAGACAATGGCGTTGGTATGGTAGCGGTACTTCAGGAATGATTAGAAAACATATTTTTATCAGGAACACACGAAATAGATCACTCTATATGCTTGCCACTGCTACCTTCACCAACGCCCTTCTCAGATTGGCTGTTGTTGTTCTGTTGCTATGGAATACATGTAATACGCCTGTGGTCGAAGCAGCGTTCACAACCATCAGCGTTGGAGGAGGCTACACGTCATCGTCCAACGCGTGGGCATGTGGCTTACTACCGGTACAAGACAGCGCCAGCGGAAGCATCGAATGCTTTGAGCCCGAGGAGCCTTTGAACGACGACAAGGAATATGTCGTGAAGGGACGTCTCGATGGGGCATACACGGGAATTTCGGTTGGCGGGAGTAGCACCCCCAGCCAGCTGTATGCGTGTGCTGTCGAGTCCATCACTGGCCGCATTCAGTGCTGGGAACCTTACACATTGGACGAGGCTTTACCATACCAAGCCAAAGGAGATCTCACCCCACCAGTCAACGAACAACCATATACCCATGTGGAAGTAGGAGGCAGCTCATCTGGCAGCTATTTTGCAGCTTGTGCCATCCGAGATGGAGGAATTGATTGCTTCAATCCCTACAGTCCTACAGAGACAGGAGTTACCTATGAAATTATGGGAAGTCTTCCAGGAGACTACTCCAGTGTGTCGGTGGGCGGGCAAGCAGAAGATGAACCCTTTACCCACGAGTTTGCTTGTACCACGCTCAACAATCCAGCTCAAATAGACTGCTTTGATCCTAAAGCTCCCGGCATTGATGGCACTGTGCCACTGTCTCGGTTGGGCCATCTTCCAGGTTCTTACCAAGAAGTATCCGTGGACGCAAGCAGTTCCCCTTCCTACATTTATGGCTGTGCTGCAAGGGCAGACCGCACAGCGGTGGATTGCTTCGAACCTTATACGTTCGAAGATACTGTCAAAAGCTACACAATCGCAGGATCTGCTCCTGGTTCCTTTGAACAGGTTTCAGTGGGTGGCGGCAGTTCCCCGTCCTACCTCTATGCTTGTGGACTCCGCGAAAGTGGCATTGATTGCTTCAGTCCTTACTTTGTGCCTCCGGTTCCCGTGACAACAACCAATACTACCTATGAAGTGACAGGATCGGTGGCTGGAAATTACCACCAGGTGGCCCTCGGTGGAGCGGCAGCTACAGACGCGTTCTATGCTTGTGCCATCCGAACCAGTGGGGAGGCCATTGATTGCTTCAATCCTTACACATTCACCGAAATTGGATCTACCTATGAGATTGGTGCTACCTATTTTCTGCCTGCTACCGCTGCCCCCACGGTGAGCCCTCCACCAATGTCCAGTCCTACCACAGAGACGCCCACCGTCGCCACAGCCACACCGCCGCCGCCACCACCAGCGATCGAGTCCACCTCACCACCACCAATCGAGTCAACATCGCCACCACCAATGGATTCTTCAACTTCACAAACGGCCTCTTCCTCTTCCACCACAGCGACGTCCATGGGGAGAGTTTTTTGGATTTCAACTATCTTTTGCTGCGCCACTGCACATTTTTGTTTCTAGCGACAATTAGCTATTATGCACTAGTGCAAGAGACGCGAGCATTTAAGCTTGTGACACCTCGGACTATGACACTTGACCATTGTCTAGGAGCGAACAGACACTGACTTAGGTGGCATTTTTTCCATGCTTCGGAGAGCTTCTCTTTGGAAAGGGCTTTGAATTGCTCCTCTGGGGACATTGCTGTGTCTTGGAGACGATGGCATCGGTACCGGTACCTGGTACCGGTACTTCAGGAATGATTAGAAAATAACTTTTTATCAGGAAAGCACCAAATAGATCACTCTAGACGTCCAGCTAGGGAATGTCTTGGCAGAAATTGTTTCTCTTGGGAAGTACGATAGCTACATCCCATTAGACTTGCCATTCCATGAAGTTAGTTGAAAACTGGAGTTTGGCGGTCGTCCGCTTTCCAATTTTCATTTTCCTAGCACTGAGATTATGGGGCTGGATCGAAGAAGGAGCACTCTGGCAAATGATTTTGTATGCAAATTCATTCCTTTGGCATGAAGCCCATACGGTACAGTACATATGCCGGTACATAAAGTGGTGGTATGGAAGAAATATTGCAGCGTGTAGGTGCATGGTTCTTCGCAGGGAAACCTCTCTCATCATTATGGATGGACTGCGGCAAAGATCGTGGACTCTTCGCGTGGATATCGAGAGCTTGATTGTCCGCTCACGAGAATGACGTCAAACGCTTGGAGGCACACCTGCTTCAACGAAAAGCGACCGTTGCCAAAGTCCAAAAGATCTTCTTTGTGCGTGACCCTTGAATCTTGACATGTCGTGTGGTACGGTACCGCTGCTGCTAGCTAGCTAGCTAGCTGGCTAGCTAGTAGTACATGTAAATCTACTGAGAGAAGCTTGTCCTTGTCCAACAGCACAGACATCATCGAAGACCATCATCACTCAGCTTTGGTCAAAGCACCTCACCAGTCGATCACACAAGGTTCTTATTGAAACCTATTGATTATTGGGGTAGCTTGCCTTCTTGATACGAGTCGATTCCGAGCACCAGGGTATCTGGATCTACCAGTCTACGACTAAACTCCATCCATCAACCCGTCATTTTCCATACTATTTCCAAATAAATCATCATGCCAGTCCCTATCAAACGCAACAACAGTCAAAGCCGTCCCAAAATCAGTCATCGACGAGGGACGGCTGGAATCAAGCGTGACAATTCCAAAATGCTCGTGTTTTTCTTTGCCGGCATGACCATCTTGGGTGCATTGATTGTGGGTATCTTTATTGGCATTTTATTCTTTGGCAATACAGGAGCGGCAGCCGCCCCAGCGCCCGGTAGAAGTGTGGACTCTCCTGCGGGATTGTTGCGAGGTGTTCACTTGCGAGAACAATGGAAGGAAAAGACGGATCAATTCAAAAATTATTTGCATCGAAAAAAAGACAACGGTGACAGTATCGGCAATGGAGGTGGCAAGGTCGAACCGAAGGAGCAAGGAGTGTACCCGTACATGGGACACCCACCTCCACACAATTTCATTATTGCCTCTTCCTGGACACCTCCGGGGGGACGACGATATGCCGAGTATACAGATGGATCCAGTCCCTATCTGATTACCGAAGAACTCAAACAAAAATCGGATGATCTGGCACGGGAACGAAGAGATTTCGTCAAGACGGCCATGGAATTTGCATGGGATGGATACTCCAAATATGCCTTTGGAATGGATGAAATATTGCCAGCATCGAGGCGTGGAACCAACAACTGGGGAGGATTTGGTGTCACGCTCGTGGATTCCTTGGATACACTCTGGTTGATGGGGATGAAGAGAGAATTCTATCAGGCCAGAGATTGGGTACGAGATAACCTCAAACATGACAAATCACGCATGGTATCGGTCTTTGAAACCACCATTCGGTCCTTGGGTGGGCTGCTCAGTGCCTATGATTGGTCTGGGGATCAGGCATTTTTGGCATCGGCAATGGATCTCGCCAAACGACTCATCAAGGCATTTGATAATAGTCCCACAGGAATCCCCTTTGGACAAGTCAACTTGGCCACAGGAGCTTCTGCCAATATCCCATGGGCAGGGAACAATGCTATTCTGGCAGAATTTGGAACTATGCAACTAGAGTTTCGATGGTTAGATGTGGTGGTCGGTACGCCGGAAACCGCCGAAATGAGGAGGAAAGTAGAGCATGTTTTTGATATTCTCCATCAAATGAGCCCCGCCAATGGCTTGTATCCATACTACATGAAGAATCAGAATGCTGGAACTCCCACCTTTGCCAACAATCACCTAACATTTGGTGCCATGGCGGATTCCTTCTATGAGTACATGCTCAAAGTATGGATTCAAGGTGGCAAGGTAGAACCCATGTATCGAGAAATGTATGACAAGGCTATGCAAGGAATGCATGATGAATTACTGCAGGTTTCCGAACCATCAGGCTTGACGTATATTGCCGACAAGGCAGGATATCAGTTGGATCACAAACAGGTACGTGCGGCGTTCGATTCGAATCGAGTTATTTGAGACGAGTATTCGTCTGTCGATGAAGGTTGCTCAGCCACACATTCGTTTCTTATCCGCCGTTTCTTAGGACCACTTGGTGTGCTTCATGGGAGGACTGCTTGCCTTGGGTGCCTACACGGATCCGTTAGGTCTGGATTCGGATCGAGCGCAGCGTGACTTGAAGACGGGGAGAGTAAGTTTTTGCGGACGGTGCTTTTGTTTCCCAAGATGTATTGCACCACTTGCTAAATGAAGCGAACTTTCTCTTCTCACATACTTCCCATCGATCGATCGACACGCAGGCACTTACATATACATGCTATCAAACCTATGCACGCATGAGCACGGGTATATCTCCCGAGTATGTTCAATTCTACAAGGGTGACGACTTTAGAATTGGAGCTGGTGCCCCTCATTATTTGCTTAGACCGGAGACAGTCGAGGTTAGCATACTTACTCGTTCCTTCCCTCGATGGTTGTTCACTAGATGTCTTGTTCACAAGTCTCACTACTGCCTTTGTTTCGTTCTCAATGCTTGTTCTGGCTCTTCCGCACCTCTTTCGACCATTTCTTCTTTATTGCACAGTCATTTTTCATCTTGAACCACCTCACAGGTGATCCTATTTACAGAGAGTGGGGATGGGAGGTCTTTCAGTCCATTGAAAAGTACTGCAAGACCGGCGTGGCCTATGGAACACTGAAGGATGTATCCAATACCAATCTACAACCCAACGACAAGATGGAAACATTCTTCTTGGGAGAAACACTGAAATACTTTTATTTGCTGTTTGATCCTGACACAGAAGTGGATCTTTTGAACAAACACGTGTTGAACACAGAGGCTCATCCGATGCGGGTGTTTCCAAAGATAAAAAACGCACCATTTGATAATAAATAGCCGATGCTACGGTATAGAGATGAATCCCATCAATTTGCAACTGACTCTACGTGTACTGCAATGATATTACCGTAATAGTCACGATGAAGGAGAGGTCGTTGTACTGGAAGATCATCAGCGTACATGCCCTGGCTGGCACGTCGGAAGGTTGGACACTGTCTTCCTTTCGACTCTTCGCTCGGAGGATGAACCGCAGCCTGTGCAGAAGGGATGGAAGATTCATAGTGACTCTTGCTGTTGAGCCAGCGCACGGTTGAAAGGATGTTGCCCTACGGGTACATGCTAGCTGGTATGATAGCTAGCTTGTGTAAGATGTATCACGTTAGGAGAACGCATTGATTGATGATTTCACTATTCCTGCTACTAATGTTCTAAAAGGTCACGTAGCCAAGTGCATGGCTACGTCTCCACTCACTGAAATGAATGAATAATGTTCACACTGTCACTCTCGTCGTTCCGATCCAATCGATCCTGTATTGTCATTGCCAATGTTTACCAGAACTTGTACCAGGGCTGGGCGACGGACGCAAAGGGGACACCCAACTCTAGAAGTTTGGCGAATGCCTTGGCAAAATCCTTGAAAAAGAGGTCTTCGTCCTTGGCATACATTGCGACGTACTTTTTGAATTCAGGATCGGACAAGAGGATCATATCGGACTGCAACATCATGAGTTTGCCCGTCGAATCTTCGAATTGGTCGGGGCTAATTATAAATAATTGAGAAAAAGAAGGAAACATGGTTAGGTTCCTGCTGCAACCGAGATTGATTCCAAACGAGCATTCTATCAGTAGTATCAAGCCATCAAATCAAGAATCACTCACCCAGTCCACGGCTTTCCGTTATGAGTGACCTTGGGCGACCATCGTTCTTCAATCAACAATCGGTAGTACTCATTGGAGAATGTGGTTTCGGCATTGGTCCAGGGTCCCCAAAAGCCACTGCGATCGGTATGACAACGTCCCATGGCATGGGCACCGAGCAAGGCGACAATTTCACGATCGGTGAAACCCATTCTTCCAAAAATGGCCCGGACATGTCCGGTACACGCCGCAAAGGAACCCATAAATGCATTGGGCAAACGATCGTTGGGATCGGCTTTTTGGGAGGCTTTTGCTTCGTCGTAATCGTCACGGCCGGTACGAAAGGCAATGGTGGGTCCTCCCGATTCTTCCACGGCAATGACACCAGCGTACGTGTAGAGATCGGCGTAAGACATGTCGGGATATTTGGCCTTGATGGGTTCCAAAACGGCACGAGCCTTATCCAAACCGGCATTGTTGCCGTAGCCGGCTACGAACAAAAAAAGAGAGCGTGTGAGGCAACGGACCAAAACGGAATTTCGAAAAGTCCAGTTTTTCGTTTGTATGTGTGTTTTACCTTCTGGATTGAATCTCATCATGGCTCCATTGGAACCACCCGAGTTGTCGGCAGCCTTGTAGGTACCACAGCAGTGCCAGGCAAGTCTTCGAGGAATGAAAGTAATGGAAGAAGCAACACAAAAATGAGCCAGAAATTGGGGAAAAAAGAAAATTTGATGCAGCCCTGACCCACCGAATGAACGTTCCCTTGAGCGAGGCTATCGTCGTGTCAAGAAGGAAACAGAAAAAGACAGTGAGTATCGTAGTAGACAGCCAGCTCGCTCCGAGGGTCTCCCTTCGCTTCTCCATGTTACTACTACGGCTAGTAGCTAGAAAACACTCACTTCCATCTCCACGAGCTTCTTCATCCTTTTCAATGAGATCCATGACGGATTCTCGAACCTTCTTGAGATCAACGGCAGGCGCTTCCTTGGCAAACGCGAGTTCCTGTTGACCCATCCACACGGCCGTGGCGGCACCGGCAGGAGCCACCATGCGCTATTACCGTGAGAACACCACAAAGAGTCATTCGAAAGAAACACATTCGTTAGACGAGAAAGAAGCACTGCATCGTCTCCTCTGCGTTCATTTCATTCCACACTCACGGTAGCGGCAAAACGAGCGGCGTTCATCTTGATTTCAGTAAGGCGAAACGAAAAAGAGAGAGAGTCTTTCGAAGCAACAACAGCAGCAACAAGAACAAGATCGATGTCGATGTGACGGTTGTGTGAGAGGAATGAGAAGGCATGGTGACAGGGGGCAAAAGATACGATCTTTTGTGTGACTCCCGATCGTGAAAGAAAAAGTCTTCGGCCCACGTCGGAACTGGTAACCCCGTCGACAAACAACACGCCACCGTGGAACTGCTGCACAACCCAAAACAACTCTCACATTGACGTCAACCGATACTCGTACTAGCTGGTGGTACTGTAACAGCCACTGTATCAGCCACTGCAACCCGGACGACAAACAACAAGCCACCGTGGAACTGCTGCGTCAACCGACAACCACTACTGACCGACACCGACACCCCACAACCAACAAAAAGAATTGATCCTTTGTTTCGCTTGCCTTCCATCTACGCTTGCTGTAGCTACCTAGCTAGCCAACTAGTTGCTACATCACCACCACCATCATCATGTCCTCTGAGCCGAAAACCAAAAAAAAGAAGCAGGAAAGTGCTGGTGCAGTGCTTTTGAATCAAAAGGATGTTTGGATCGATGGTATCCTTCCTTTTGTTGGCGTGGGCCAGTATGCCTTTGTTGGGGCTGTCAACAAGAAGATGAAAAACCTCTACAAAGCATACTGTGATTCTGTGGAGGATCCACCAATGGTTTGGAATTATTGGAAAGGTAAAAAATTCAAAGCAACTAGCACAGTCACAACCTACAGAGCTGCGTTCCAAAATGAGGCCACAGCAGAATTATGGGTCAGTGATGATTCCACCAACAAGATGCCTACTCATTTTCAGGTGTGCCAAGCCATAGCCAAGCTTGGAAATGTTGCTGTTCTCAAATGGGCCCATGGCAAAGGCTTTCCATGGGATTTTTGGACATGTGCTCGTGCTGCTGAAAATGGGCATCTGGAAGTCTTGAAATGGGCCCACGGAAATGGTTGCCCTTGGGGTGAATTCACTTGTGCAGTTGCTGCCAGAGGTGGGCATTTGGAGTTGTTGAAATGGGCCCATGAAAATGGCTGCCCTTGGAATGAATACACTTGTGCTTATGCTGCTGAACATGGCCATTTGGAATTGCTTAAATGGGCGCATGCAAATGGCTGCCCATGGAGTCAGCTCACTTGTGCTGCTGCCAAAGGTGGACAGTTGGAAATATTGAAATGGGCTCGTGAACATGGCTGTCCATGGCATGAAAAGGTTTGTCAAGATGCTGCTGAAAATGGGCATTTGGAAACACTGAAATGGGCCCGTGCAAATGGCTGCCCATGGAATGCAAGGACTTGTGAAAGGGCTGCTTCAGGAGGGCATCTGGAAGTACTGAAATGGGCCCATGAAAATGGCTGCCCCTGGAATGAGGGTACTTGTTCACAGGCAGCCATAGGTGGGCATTTGGAGCTGTTGAAATGGGCCCGTGAAAATGACTGCCCATGGAATGCAAACAATATTTGTGGCTTTGCTGCTCAGTGGGGGCATTTGAAGTTGTTGAAGTGGGCACGTGCAAATGGCTGCCCATGGGATGAACGAACCTGTTCAAATGCTGCTTGGGGTGATAATTTGGAATTACTGCAGTGGGCCCGTGAACAGGGCTGCCCATGGAATGCTGACACTACCAGACAAGCTAGACTTTTTCGTCATGACCACATTTTGGATTGGGCCCTTGCAAATGGATGCCCTGAGGTTTAATGAGGTGGAGCAGGTAGGTTGAATCTCTCTTTAATTTTGCTATGATAAAATGGGCCGCCTTTTGCCCCTACTAATGCAATACATACGAATTGATTGTTGGTCTCATTATGGTTGGTAGAGGATCAGGTTGTAAAAAGTTGAAACTGGAGGCAACATACGTTCCAATTGTAGGGATCTGCTTCTTCTCTTTCACTTCAAGTTGGGATTTTGGTTGCTTGTGGGTTTGGGTTCAGTAGAATATATGGGGCTTTGCAATGGGTTGGAACGTGCCGTGCCTACGAGGCAATTGGCAGCCATAGGGACAGGCTTGACCTGGGTCGTCCGCTGCAGTGGCTGCGAACGACCTGCAGGGTTTCCGTGCAGAAACCCCACGAAATAAATAAGTCAAAATGTAGTGAAAGTCATAATTCGAACCCTCTAGATATGTAGTCTACCTACAACCGAAAGGCAAAGTCAGAGAGAAGAAGCAGCGGTCGCGCAATTTCAAGGTATCAGGTATAGGTTGCCTCCAGTTTTGATATTTCAGTACCAGGTCGTCTACGTATCATAATGAAACCAACAAACAATTCGTATGTATTGCATTACTACAAGCAGAAGTAGGAAAATCAACAAGAAATTTGACCTCCATCGTCCACCTCCTTTAAACATCAGGACATCCGTTTGCAAGGGCCCAATCCACAACATGGAAATGGCCGGCCTCTCTTGCTCATCTGACAGTCTTTTCATTCCATCGACAGCCGTATTCACGTGCCCACTTCAGTATTTCCAAATGTCCACCATAAGCAGCCTTCGTACACGTATTTGCCCTCCATGGGCAGCCATTTTCACGCACCCATTTAACGTTTCCAAATGACCATGTTCGGCAGCATTTGCACAAATTAATGGATGACGCACTGAACAGCCATGTTCAACGGCCCATTTCAGTATTTCCAAATGTCCACCTTCAGCAGCAGATGCACTAGTCGCTTCAGTCCATGGGCAGCCATTTGCACGTGCCCACTTCAGCAATGCAAAATGTCCACTTCCTGCAGCATATGCACAAGTGAGTCTATCCCATGGACAGCCATATTCAAGGGCCCATTTCAACAACTCCGAATGCCCACCTTTAGCGGCAAAAGCACAGGTTGTTTCATTCCAGGGACACCCATTTTCACGCAACCACTTCAATACATTAAGATGCCCACCCTTGGCTGCTGCAGCACATGTATCTTCATTCCACGGAAATCCTTTGTCATGTGCCAACTGAAGAACATCATTGTTTCCAAGCCTGGCAATGGCTTCACACACCTTACGGCGAGAAGGAACTTTGGTGTTGGAATCGTCAGCGAACCATATTTCTGCAGTGGACTCATTGTAGAAAGCAGCACTGTAGGTTGTGACTGTGCTAGTTGCTTGACATTTTTTACCATTCTGATGATTCTGTACCATTGGTGGATCCTCAGCAACCATGGGTGGATCCTCCACAGAATCACAATACTCCTTGTAGAGGTGATTCATCTTCTTGTTGACAGCTCCTACGAAGGCATAGTGGCCCATTCCAACAAAGGGAATGATTCCGTCAATCCACACATCCTTTTGATTGAGTACCGGTAACACTGGCGCATCAGTGTCTAGTTTTTGCTTTTTGCTTTTTGCTTTTTGGCTTGGAGACATGATGATGATGATGGTGATAGGACAACTAGCTAGCTAGTAGCTAGCGTAGATGAACTTTCACGAAACAAAGGATCAATTGGTAATATGGACCAAGTCGATACATCGTACATGTACAGATGTACCGTACTGTACATGTACCAGTGCCATGTCCAAAAGATGTTGGTTGATGCGTTGATGGCGTTGATGCGGAAGTTTCGAGGCTTTGTTTCTGCGGGAAGACATTCCTTTCACGATCGGGATCACCAAAGATCGTATCTTTGCCCGCTGTCACCACAATCGCGCGAAAGATCGAAGACGAGGTTCCGCCGATCGCGACCCACCGACACATCACTGCATGGTGGACCGCCGACACCCTTCCAAAAGACACTGCCAACTGCCAACACTCTTCTAGAAACACCATTTGCAACCAACCAAACAGATACCAAGATAAGACGAAGATGTGGATCCTGCGACCGTTCCACACACTGCTAGTACTTCTCCTACTGTGCTGTACTGCTGCTGCCGAGGATGTCCCTGAGCAGGATTTTTTCCTTTCCTGTTCCATGGGCAAAATGGACGAATTAAATACCTACTTGGAGGCACATCCCGACTGGGTCCATGCACGGACGGCCGATGGAGAATACTGTTTGCATTTGGCGGGAATCTATGGCAAATCTGCCGTGACGACCATGCTACTGAAACTGGGCGCCGATCCCAATGTCCGCACGAGCTACGACAAGGGATTACGGATGCATCCCTTGAGTTGGAACGTCTACGGCAATCATCTGGAAAATGCTCGTCTCTTACTGGCAGCGGGTGCCGATCCGAATATGGATTTTGATTTCGAACACGGCGGTGAAAAAAGAAAGGTGACCGTCATGGATTTGCTCTATGTGCTCAATGAAAACAATAAACACGGTGATTATGATGACCTGAGAGACTTGTTGCTCAAGTATGGAGCCAAGACTCTTAAGGAGTTGGAAAGGGGAGACGAGTTGTGATACCGACTAGCTAGCAATCCAAGTATCCATCAATCAGTCTACTCTACTAAGGTACTGCAGCTCCATAGAACGATATAGACGAATAAGAGTCTCCTTCAAGACTTTCTGATCCAAGTTTAACTCTCCTCCTACTCTATAATTTTTTGCTTTTTCGATGAAGAAACTCTTTTGCTATTATCATACAATCTCTATGGATGCATACAATCAAGTATCTGCAAGAACCAAAACAGGCAGAGCGGACTACACTCCGTACATTGCATTCCACTACATGTAATTGGCACGCGTCGTTTCTTGATTGAGCGGTCGTCCCATTAACGACACGACGGCCTGTTCGGGTGAAATGGTTTTGTGAATGAGTGCATGGACGGTTCGAAAAATGGGACATTCCAATCCGCACATGTCGGCATATGCCACGGCGACATCGGCCGTGGGGACTCCCTCGACGGTATAATCTTTGAGAATATCGTCGACGGCATGTCCTTTCATCAAGCGCGTACCGCAGCGTTGATTGCGCGATTGGGACGAAAAACACGTCAACATGAGATCGCCAATGCCGCTCAATCCATCAATCGTATCGGGATGTCCGCCCATGGCAATGGCGAGATCGCACAATTCGCGACTGGCCCGAGTGACACTGGCCGACAGTGTGTTGGTCCCATAGCCCAATCCGGCAATCATGCCGGCACCGACGGCCAGTGGATTTTTGAGCGCTCCACCGAGTTGAACGCCAATGGGATCTTGACTGGTGTAGACTCGAAATGTCTTGCCATTGCTCATGATGCGTTGTAATTTGTTGGCGAGATAGAGTTGATCCGATGCAATGACGACGGCGGTGGGATATCCCTGCACAATTTCTTCGGCAAAGGAAGGACCCGATAGAAAACAGAGGGGTTGCGAAGCTCGATTGAGAGCGTCCAAAATGGCGTGTCCAACCAATTGTTGTGTGGGCAAGTACAAGCCCTTGGCGGTACTAACGAGCAAGACATCCTCTCCAATCAAATCGGCGTGTTGTTGAATCCAAAGAGGTGTTTTTTGACAGGGCAGTGCCAAAATGACGATAATGCCGGGAATGGCCAAGTATTTTGCCAATTCGTCGCGTGTGCAAATGCCCGTAATGGCATTGTCGTTTGGATTGAGGGGATATTTGGAAAGGTATTTGGGATTGCGACAGTTGGTATTGATTTCCTCGCATTGTTGGGGATCTCGCATGTGCATCACCACCTTGTGACCATTGGCGGCGCACGTATATGCCATGGCGGTGCCTGACAAAAAATGAGCGAAAGAATGAATGAATGAGAGAACGAAAATTAATGAATCAAAATGATACCCAAACTAGACTTTTTTCGTTGCTTTTTAAAAGACGTACCATAAGCACCCGCTCCCACTACCAGAATAGTCTCTTTTTCCTTTCGAGCCGTCAAGTGCACGGGTCCCAATGCCATTCGTTGTGGCGGCAACAAATGCTTTTGGATGCGACTGCAAGCATTCCGCAGTCGTTCTCGATCTCGCAATCGCATGGCATACGAGGCGTACACCATACCACTCACAAAACCCACGGCCGCGGCCGACCAAAGGGGAATGTTAGCATTGCTATTAGTAGGCGTAGAGGAGGACATGGTTGTGTAGTTGGTGGGTTGTTGGTTCTGTGGGATCTTTCGGAATGTCCACTTCTTTGTCAACTCTCCTAAATCAAGAGTGGTGTCAGACACTGGATCTTTCGCTTGGACCCGCAAGATCAAGAAGTAAGTGTGTGTCGAAATGTCGAAATCTTGGACAGTCATGCTGCCGGTACCGTACCTAACCGGTTTTTTGGTAATTAAGCACGAAGCAAGCCAGCCGCTCATGACCATTGAACGTAATGGCCCTGATTATTAGAATTTAGTTTGTGATCTTGGAGAAGCTCTTTGGCAATCGAGAACTTTGCTAGTAAATCATTCTGAAGGTATGATACGGTTATCTTTTTGAAGGCAATGATGAGGATACATGTAGCATGAAAAGATTGACTAAAGAGAGAGTGGTGGATAGTTGAGGCAGCCTCAAAAAAGCTATGCATTACTCTTTTACGGTACTGCACGGACGAATGAAGATTTACAACGAAGAAAGCAGTGAATATCCATGGAACAGACTGGCGCAGATTATGTCACCATGCACCCATTCTTTGTAGGCTTGTGGCTGACAACGCCACCATTGCTGGTTGTCCAGAAAAAATGGGAGGCGGCTAGCTAGTACCGGTACCGGTTTTAGTAGTCAGATGGCTGCACGTATAGTATTCATGAGTCTGCCGCTATCAGCGCGATGTTCTGGTCCTAAACACTCTCTGCTTGGGATTAGACTACTAATAGTAAGTCAAAGTGAGATCACATACATGAGCTAAATTCAAGCTGGAGTTGTTTAAAATTATCTTATAACCCAGGTAAAAACGTATACTAATGACCGCTGTGTCTTCCGATGTCACTGACAATGGCTTTTCTTTAGCGCACCCTGATCGGCAAACGGAGATCCAAAGAAGATCTCTTGCTTGTTGATTTCTGCCGTTCTGTTTTTCTTCATTGGCTGCTCTGTTGCCATTACCTTGCCATTATTGTTGTCGCTGCCATCAACCCCTTTCTAAAGGAGACTCAGCTTATTACGGGATTTCCTCGGCAAGCATAAACTGTTGGCTACTGGTGCCGAATTTGCCAACTCGATCTGCTGCTCACTCCAAGCAAACAGATTGTTCCCTTGGATCCTACTTCTTCTCCCGTATCATCCCCCACAAGTTCTATCCCAGGGGTGTTTCTTTCAGGTTGCTGCTGTTTTTAAGAACTAGCTAGCTAGTAGTAGACAAGGGGTGCCATGTTTCCGTCCATTGTGAGTTTCTAAACAATTTCATTCATTCGGCAACTTGAAAATGATATCTTGTGCTGACATTCCTTCTACTGTCGCCCTGCCTTAATCCTCCCCTCGGATCTGTTTTTTATACGTATATACCCACGACAAATAGGAACCAAGCGACGTCGGTTTAACCGGTCTATTGTGGCTCTTTGTGAGTTATGGATACGTTCTGTATTATGCCTCCAACCTCATTGGGGAAGGAAGCGAACTGCTGCTCCTTGTGCCATCCATGGCAGGGCTGGTAGGAGGAGTTGTCTTGCCCGTGTTGGGAGCCGTCCCAGATGGAGGTACGTTCCTGGGATGATTGCGAAGTCGAGCTGATTTGACCTTATTGGGTTGGCTGGTTGGGACGGGTTGCTGGCTGCCAAGACCATGCTATCTTTTGCCACCCTGGACGTTTTAGGGTGTGGCATTTTGGATGATTAACCCAACATCTCACACGGTTTTGTCTTTTACAGCCATCATTCTCTTTAGTGGTCTTGGAACCAAAGCAGTGGCTCAGGAAACGTTGGCTGTGGGAGTGGGGGCTTTGGCTGGATCCACCATTATGCTTTTAACCGTTCCCTTTGCCGTATCAATCTATTCCGGTCGGGTCGATATCGTCAATGGCACCCCTAACTACAAGGGAAAACCAAAACTAACCTACAAAGAATCCTTCATGTTCGACTTGAAGCATACCGGGGTCATTGTCACGGAACCCGTCAAACACGGTGGCATCATCATGGCAATTACCACAATTCCCTACTTTTTAATTCAAGTTCCCGCCCTGTTTCTGCACGGACCCACCGAAGAAGTAGCCGAAGGAGAGCATTGGTGGGCAGGTTCCGGCATGATTGTTTGTTTGGTCGGACTCTTTGCCTACATTTGGTTGCAACTCACGATTTCCAAGAAAGGAGAAGACAAGGGTAAGCGCATTGCCATTATGAAAAAGCTTTTGACGGAGGGCAAGGTGAGCCTATCCGGAGCCTTAAAGGCCAATGTCGAGGAAATGGGTGAAGTAGAACGCAATGCCGCAACGGAATATCAAGCCATTCAACAAGGCGATCAATCTTCCGGGAACTATCCTCCACCCAAAATTGCAGAGTACCTGAAAGAAGTCCTGAAAGATGCGTACTTGGGATACGACGAAAACAGAAACGGTCTGCTGGATCCTCGCGAAGTTCAAACCTTCTTTCGCGATTTTCACGAAAACATTCGAGAAGAGGAAATGGACGCTTTGTTCAGGAAATTCGACACGGACGGGTAAGTCAACGGTGCTACTACTTATGTTGAAATAAATCGAGTCATGTGCCTGATGGAGGATCGTCTCTATTGGTTGCAGCAATGGGACCATTTGCTTTGATGAATTCATTGGAATGGCGTACACCTTAATCACCGAGGATAAAGACGATATCCGCTCTTCGGTTCGTCCACTGACACAGGGAGTGGCGGAGGGTATCTATTCCGAGGACCTCGACGGAGAAGAAGAAGAGGAAGTACCGGAGGATTTTGCCGATCTTCCTCCCGATCAACAACAACTTGCCATCAAAAAGCGCGCGTTTGTCATGCTCACGATTGGAACCACTCTGGTCGTTCTATTCTCGGATCCAATGGTAGACGTCATGCAGCAGATTGCAACCAGGACCGGTATTGATGCTTTCTATGTGTCATTCGTTCTTGCTCCCTTGGCGTCGAATGCCAGTGAGGTGATTGCCAGTCAGTACTACGCAGCCAAGAAAACAAGAAAAACAATGACGGTATCTTTGTCTGCTTTGGAAGGGGCAGCATCGATGAACAACACATTTTGTCTCTCCATTTTCATGGGTCTCATCTACTTCCGCGGCCTCGCCTGGCAATACACAGCTGAGACTCTTGCCATTGTTTTGGTTGAATTTTTCATGGCGTATATTGTACAAAGGGAGTTCTTGACAACACTGCAAGGGTTCTTCATCTTGATGGTGTTCCCGCTGAGTCTTGTCCTCGTCGCAGTGTTGGAGAAGCTAGGCTTTGACTAGACTAACTGTGGTTCTTGGTCGTTCAAGAAGGGGGCATGTGCATGCTTGTAATAGTTTTGAATGTAGTAACCTTAAGACTCCACCTCTATTATTGCTAGTTGTTTCTACTTTTTCTGGTGCCTGTGCATTTGTGTCTCTCATTACTCAGTAGTCACGAACTCAGATTTGAACCGGCAATCTCAGTACTCAGTAGTCACTAACTCAGATCTGCGCCGGCAATACTGCCACAGGCGGCGCGGCAATGCAGCTACATGATCACCACAGGAACGCCGAAGACAACAGCATAAGAGCAGCAGACGGAAACATCTAAAGCTACCCTTTTATTAATGTAATCAACTAAAGAAATGGTTGCACTAGGTAGGCGATACACTGGGCCTCCAACACGAGACAAAGAAACGATTTACAGACCTGGGAAGGCTCCGCCGGCCAAGCGGTTCAAGTTGTTGGTTGTGCATGTCAACTGAGCTGTCATGATCTTCTCAACAAGTGCCGAATCGTCGCACTTATCTTCCATCATCTCCACAACCTTCTCCATGGCCTTCTCGTAGTCCTCCTTGATCTTCTTCTCGGCTTCGAAGTAGGCCTGGCGATTATCGAGATCCCTCTGGAGCTGCTTGTTCTGATCGGTGTACTTGCCAAGGTTGTCTTCCAGCTTGGCATTGTGGTCTTCAATTCGTGCCTTCTGCTTGTTGAGCGAGTCAAGGGAAGCTCCAGCTGATGCACTTGCTTCAACGAGACGTTGGTTGGTTTCCTTCAACTCCTCAATATCGGCCTCCATATCCTTGGTCTTCTGGCGAGTCTTTTCATTGTCCTTCTTCAAGTATGAAACAACCTTGTCGGACTCTGCCACCTTCTTCTGCATTGCCTGGAGCTCTGTCTTGTCAATCTTTGCGGCTTCTCCCATCAGTTGCTCATACTTCTCTTGGTAAGAATCACGTTCCTTCTCTGCTGCCTTGGCCTTTTCTTCTGCCTTGGCAACCTTCTTCGCATTTTCCTTCTCCTTGGCCTCGAGATCCTTCTTCAACTTCTCGACTTCCTTTTGTGCCTTCTTCACTTCCTTCTCCCTCTCCTTCTCTTCACGTGCTTTTGCCTCTGCCTCCTCTTTCTCGCGCTTCTTGCGTTCCGCTTCGGCCTTCTTCTCTGCCTCTTCTCGAGCCTTCTTCTCTGCTTCTGCCTTCTTGCGAGCCGCCTCGGCTCTCTCAGCGGCAAGCTTGTCACGCTCAGCCTTGTTTTTGGCCTCTTCTGCCTCACGCTTCTTCCTTTCCTCCGCTTCCCTCTTGGCTTTTTCTTCAGCATCCTTCGCACCACGCAAGTTACCGAACTTCTTGCGGGCGAGATGACCACGCACAAGAGCCTGGATCTGCTTGGCTTGGCCATCCATACCAGCAGCCCTGTTGGCTTCAAGATACTCAAGAGCTCCTGCACGGAAGTAGGTACGAGTCTTTCCTACAACGAAAGCCTTCTTGTCGCCTTCCTGCTTCTCAATCAAAGCACAGGTAAAGAGGGCATCGCAATCCTTGCCCAAACCAACATCAAGCGGATCATCATCGGTCCTGGTAGTGGGGTACTTCTTCTTGTCCCACATGGTGTTGTAACGCATTCGGGCAACGGCGTTCTCCATACGATTGGGGAAAGCAGAACGAGTGATAGTCACAGCAGCAACAACACCAGCACAACGGAGCTGTTCAACAGTTCCAATGTGCTCCATCTTGACCGGCACCTTGGCTTTGTTGGGCTTGATACAACGGATGTAGCGGGAGCGAGTCTTGCGCAAGTTGGTCATCAAAGAGCTCAATTGAGTCTTGTACTTGGCCCAGATAGTAGAACCAACAATGTTACTCTTCTGACGCTTGGGGGCCTTGCCGGCCGCTGCAGGAGCTTCAGGCACCTTGTAAGCAATGATGAAGTTGGAGGACTTGAACATGGCTTCTTCCAAATCCGTTGGGAGGGTATCTTGATTCCTCTCAACGAAGTACAGAGCACTGTACATGACCTTTCCTGCGTAGTGATGGATACCAAATCCCATACGATCCATGTTGTTCACGATCAAACAGGGAGACTTCTTGTTGGCACCAAGAGCCTTCTGCACAAATGCTTCATCACTACCCTTGGGACGGACACACTCCTCATTCAACATGGCACACAGACCGGTACGACCCTCAATCAAGTCCAGCACATCAGTGTTGTCATCAAAGGTAATCTCAGCAAGCTCAATTCCCTCAGCTTCATATTCAGCCTGGACAGAGCGGAAGATATCCTCAGTGAACTTTTGCTGGAGCTTTTCGTTTGCGTAGTTGATACAAAGCTGCTCAAAACGATTGATGACAAAGGACTCAAAGCCAAAGATATCCAACAGACCAATGATGCCATACTCTGAGCACGGAATGGGGTAATTGTTCTCGGCCTTGGTGGCTTCATTGATACCAGCGACCAACCAGAGGAACAACTTTCCATACACCTCCTTGGCAAAAGCATCACAACCAGCCTTGGCTGAATCAGCATTCATTGGCACCTTGTAGGTCTCATTTCTTGTCTTCATGGTACGCTCTGTGAAAGCCAGTTGAATTTCTGCCTCTGCGACACCAATGATATCAGCAAGATCAGCTAGCTCCTTCTTGGATGTGCACTCAGACTTGTCTGCATCACCAGCTTGAGGACCAAACGCCAAGTTACCGCATTGCATTGTAGCTGTGATGGCTCTCATCAAGGCAGTGAGCTTGTCTCCACCAAGGTTGATGAGGGACAAAGTCTCACAAGTTCCCTCAAACCACTCGGCATCTGTCCTCTTCTCAATCTTGGTTGTTGCTGTGTTTCCAACATACTTGAAAGAGTCGAAGTTGGTGCCCTTCAGGCCAGACCAGAAGCTAGCCTTTTGGTCTTCAGGAGCAGCCAGGATCTGGTAGAAGATGTGGTAGGTACGTTCAGGCTCTGTGTGACCAGTGACACGATTCTTCTCCAAAAGGTAGGCCTCGCAAATGGAACCAGCCAGCTTGCATGTGGACTTGGAGAGATCAACCATGTTTGTGTTGCGATCGTTGACATCGAACTGAAGCTGGGTGTATTTTCCGAATCGAGAAGAGTTGTCATTACGGGTAGTCTTGGCATTACCAAAAGTCTCCAAAAGAGGGTTGGATTGCAAGACACGGTTCACCACAGGGTCCTCAAAACTGTCGTTACCACTTTCTGACACGGGTCCACGCTGGACAGACGCCATGTGATTCATGGCAATCTTGACCGTCTCCGTCTTTCCAGCTCCTGATTCTCCAGACACCAGAATGGACTGATCGACTCCTTCAAAGGCAAGACCCTTGTAACAGAGAGAAGATGTCTCGTACACATGAGGCTCCAAGCTTGCACGGGGATCGGTTTCACCAGAGTCGGTCCAGACGAGCTTGTTGGAGTATAGAGTGCGGACTTTGTCCGTGTAGATCTCCGTGAACCATTGGAAAGGGTTGATGGCAATGATAATATCTCCAGTTCGTGTGTATGGCTTTCCTTTCATGTGGCGAACCTTGAGATTGTACAAAATACCAGCCTGTGTGTGAAGGAAAACGGGGCATACGGAAAGAGCCAGGTTGGTTAATGAAAATGTCGTGACGCATCGTGGGGTATTCCGAGAACGAGAAAACTGGAAACCAGAACAGACAGATCATGCATGCTACCCACAGCCAATCCGACTCGAGCACGGCCCCGATCGATAATCGCCCAAGGAAACGATTGCCGGAACAAACGCGACCTCAAAGACAGATAACCAAAGAGATAATAACGAGATAACGAACGAAAGAACGAATACTCACCTCGTGAAGGTATGGCAATTCCACCATATCTTGAAAGACGATGAGATCTCCGTTGGCGTCGACATTTTGCAGGGGCAAGACTTGGGCAGTGTAGTTTTTGAGATCGACCACTCTCTGCTCAGACTTCTTGGCTCCTCGTCCGCCATCAGAGCAGATGGCTTGTTCGTCGGAATAGAGTGTGTACCTTGACGGTCGCCTTTCCCTTTTCCGTTTTCTCGAGAGTCGCCGGATGCCAAGCATACGTCTTGTCGAGAATGTAGACAAATGAATTACCACCCATCTTTGCGCTCTTTCTTTCTTAACCAAACTGTTCTTTTCTTTCTATCCGACCGATGCGGCAGCAACAAGATCAATCAATGAATCGAATCTATCTATCCAAGAAGACCTTCTTTCTTGTTGTCTTTTGCGGAAAATGAAGAAAAAGATATCACCTTTGCGGGGAGGCGGATCTTGGCATGTTGCAAGCAGAACAACCGCTGCGCTGCTGTGCAGTATCTTGTTGCAGGCTTCTTGCTCCTACCACCACCTAGTACGTTGAATTTTGTACCTGATGTCAGCTACAGCGGATCCAGTACTGACGCTACGGTAGGATCCTTCCACTGGCTATGACCTCCTGAATGACTGCTTTACCGCGACTCCTCTCTTGGGTCCCAAGAACTCAATCATGAGCCGACCTTGCACACTCGCTGGTACATCACGCAACTTCACTGGCTCCTTTGTTTGTTGGCATTGGCAAGACATCAAAGACATTTTCCTTGAAGACAGGGTTGGAAGACGTGAGATAGAGCTCACCGGGGTGCGTAGGGTGCGGAGGGCGAGGATGGGGACATGTTGGCAAGAAGGTTACAGCGGTACAGTAATGCCGAGGGTAACTACTAGAGCTTCAGTTCAAACCTATGCCTAGAAGGTGCAAGGAGCGCTGGGCACAGTGGCTGGTATTGGTACTGTAGTACCCAGATGCCAAGCAAAGGAGGTGAGAATGGGATAGAAGGGGGTGCGTATCTAGCAAGACCCAAGGACATCAGAGTCTGGTCGACTCCTCGTGGCTTGGTAAGTCGTGCAGATGAGCAGTGTGTCGACTATGTATCTACTCTACCGTAGAGAACATCGCCGGGACCCAGCAGACACCACCGTGACATCCGGCGCTACAAACGACAGGGGAGCGGCTCTGGGTTAGATTGTGTTTGTAGCGGGGTTGTCCAAGGTAATTATGTATGTAGATTAGTAAAATGCTGTACTAGAGGCTGAAAAAGGAAGAAGTAAGTACGGTAGTCAAGAAAGTTATCTGCGAAAGGAAACAGGGGGGGCTTGCAATGGGAATTCTCAAGTACTGGTTAAAGGTACCGTGGGCAATCAAGCCAGGGGCGTCAAATCCATGTGAGCCTCAGAGTAGGGTAGGGATGAAAGAAAAAGAGGCCAGCAGAAAAAGAGGGATGACTAACTAAGCAAATGGATGTACATCTTGTTTGCACAAGCACATGTCGCTACGTGGAGATGACGGAAATATCATTGTCTTCGGTCCCTCTTGGCACGTATCTGAAATACCCCTTGATGTGCTGTTTCATTTCCGCGGCTTTCGAGGCGGTGGATTGTTGGTATTTGAGCAGGAGGTTTCTCTGCTTACTATGTGGCCTGCGGCCATTGGAATGGAAACTTCGTGGTGATGTCGAACGCCATATGTCGGCAAGGCGCTCGTCCTGTTGCGGGACCTGGAATTCGACAT